AGTTCGCCCAGACACAAAGAGAACTACATGAGACTAAATGGTGGGTGATTTGTACACAAACAGTTTGGTATTCTCCTATATTACAGTTCCTTCTGTGTGGTCCAATAAATTGGTCCCAGTCACACAATTTGCCCCATTAACTAATAGACAAAAGTAACACCTGCAGTAAAAGAATCTGGAAATCAAAACAGGACAATAATGTTGGCACAATATTTGTGAGGTTTTTAAACACTAAGAATAAAAATGTGCAAAGTGACAAGAAATGTGCCAGAGTGAGAGCTTAATGTGATCTTAAGTTTTTTTAAGATGTCTGCTTTGTCATAAGTAAACTTTATCATCTCTGTGACTATATCATAATACACAAATGCAAATGCCGTTTTTAGGAACAAACATCTCACCTCGTTTAAACTGCATAGAGATTACGATCATAAAGCTGAAAGGCCGCACTGGCTCACTAGACAGCACAGGACTCAAACAAGCACTTCAAACACAGCTTGTGATTTGTTTCCTCTTTGTTTCTTGGCTGGTACTCTGTGTTTTGGAAGTCAAGAGGAACAATGGCCAAAATCATTTAAAAATAGCTGCTAGCCTGTTCTTCCAAATATATACTATAATGCTACATCCAAACCTATATAGTAAGCACACTAAGGGCCTACTGCAATCAGTATACTACTGTATACTGTATTGGACATTCTTTTGGTACAACACAAAAATAAATCAATACCAGTATATATACTATTATGCTAATGGTGGGGGGGGATAAGATACAATTATTGTATTACCCTTATTTGTACATTAGGTAATTTGGACATCATGTGAGAAAAGAGTTGCCTCTAGTTTGTCAAGGGCACTGTGAATTCTGAAGAAAAGACTGCACCGCTACACTAAAAAGGACAATTATCGGAGAGTTCAACAGAGTACTAATTAATTCATCCCTTGTCACCAGCTCAGAAACAAAGAATCCACATTTGATGTTTTTTTTTTAAACTATTAACTTTTCCTCTTTCATAACAACAGATAAAATAAAAAGGAGGAAAAACTGAGAAAAAGAAAAGAAAAAAGGGGAGCTGAGCTCAAGCACACATTTGTATCTTTGTTTTACAGATACAGAATACATAGCTTCAGAATACAGACATACTGTATACATCATAGATTCAGGCTGGTTTATCACATGATATAAATCCAATCGTCAATATGGCGAGAGGTCTGGACCAATGTATGCATGACTTTTGATGTTTTCTATTCAGGGCATGATGGATTTTGTGTGTTTGAATTCTTCACATATGGCGTTTGTGCGATTTGTCTTCCTGCAAATAATCGTTGATAGTCAGCTTCACATAATCTTTAGGAGAAGGAACTGTTGAACTGAGACATGAATTATCAAACTCTGAATTCGTAACTTAGTGCCACAACAAGTGAGCACTGCAACACCAGACACTGGCACCATATCAAACTGCCAACCAAAAAGTAAGGTGCCTACACTGATATGAGCACAGGCACCAGTGGTTCTTAACCTTAACTGCTGTCTGCAGCCCCTTGGTTCTCAAAATCTGTTCTTGCACCCATTCAAAAACCGCTGGAAGTAGGTCTGTTCTATAAACCTATATCATAATTATAGAATGAAAGAGAGAGAATTATTCCTTTAATTTATTTATTTAAATTTTGTAATAACATTTAGAATACAATAATTTGTTTTTACATTTACCTTAAAATACCTTGGTTTCACGAAACAAAGATGTTGTGTATCTGACATGTTGCATACCCAGGTTAAGAACCGCTGCCATAAAAATGTTTTTATGAAATCCTAAGGGCTAAGGTTTATGTACTACCACAAGCGGATGTTTTCTGAAGAACCAGTACATAATTGTGCTGCTGTCTTAGACTTATGTTGTGGGGAAAGAAAATGATGAAGTTGAGTAAATGGGCCTGTGTCCACCTTCCTCAAACCCAGCTTAAGCTGTTGGAACTACTAACTTCAGAAGCAGACCCATATCATTACAGGATCATCTATGTGGTCAATGTACATGCCATTTCTGTTTCTGTAGGAACTCCACAGCAAACTGGAATATTAACTCATACCGCAGAACAATGGGAAAGCACTGAAAATTCAGCTGCCTGTAGATTCCTTCTACTGATGTCAGCAGCAGTACCAACAGTGTTACAGAATACACTAATACAATAAGGACTGACCTATAATACAGCCCTGGACAGCAGTGTGCTAAAGGTTTGTTCATCACAATTTGGTTAACAGAACTGAGACTTAACCCAAAGGTTTTACATTTACGGCTTTGAGTTACAGAAAATGCCTTTTTGTTTCACAATGCTGTATTAAGGAAGTATTTTCTATGTGATGCTGGGCGATATCGAGCTGTTCTAAGGAATTTTATCACAGGTGATGCCTATGGAATATAGGACCTTGGGAAGTGTTGAAGCTTTTTGTCTCCATTTCAGCCAAGCTCTGAATTACCCGATACTGACTTTGAGTCCCTTAATTAAACTAAAGTACTGAAGCCCCCGACAGCCCTGGTATGCCTATATGGTTAAGCGATATCGACAGTACAGAGGTTGTCTATAATGAGGAAATAACACTAATCTGGAGTTAACTACAGGAAAACAAGGTCTACACATAGCAAACGATATCTTCAATTAATTAGGATAATATAAGAAATGATCATATAAGATCATATAAAACATAAGATCATATAAGAAATTGTGAGTTTTTAATTAGTACTTTTGTGCTTCATATATTATATCAAGGACTACCCTCTTTTATTTTGCAACGGAACCTAAGGAGAGCATAAAAAGGAGCCAGATAAGGGCTGCAGGGCGAAAACACACTGAAGTGGCACTCAGGTGTTAAAAATAAATCTTGGGGAAAAACAAACACAATGCAACAAGACTATTAATTAAAGTGGATGAACTACAAATGTACCCACTTGATCCAGAACATAAAAAATCTAAAAGGTGAAGAGACTGTTTTGACATCAGTTGGTCTAAAGTCTTACGTAACGTTTCTAAAACGGTTTGTACACCCTCATCATCATTCAAAAAAGGAAAAATAAAGTGGTTCCAATTGTCTTACTTGCATTTAACTGACAATTGGAATCATACAGAAAACTAAACAATAATTAGACAGGCTCTGTAAACATAGACTGGATCCATACTGGCTATAAATAAAATAAACATACATTACATTTACAGTGATAATATCAGGGAACAAGAAAATGGTAACTTATTTAATGGCAACACTGTTCAGGAATCAGTCTGTCAGTTTATCTGTAAAGACATAGGATGTGTAAGGAATTGAGAACAGCATTAGTAAAGAGAATTCAGATCCAATTTTCACCGACAAGAAATAATTATTATGAGTTAATGGCATAGCTCTTCAGAAATGTATCTAACCTCAAGACTATGGCAAGAACCAGTGTAGTGCTCACAATCTCTAAGGGATTGTACCATCAAGTCCTGTGTGTCAAAATTAAAAATAAATGTGTTTGAAATGGTGTTGTGATGTGTTTGGCAGCAATGTCACTGCTGATTTTCAGTCAGTGTATGAACAACGCCTGCTTGGTGTTGCTCCATTTAATTTCAGCTAACTACACTGTAAGGATGAAGGCAGTTCATAGAAAGACCCTGTCAAATAACCTTTACAAACCTATAAGCATGCTTACCCATTCTTCTTACTGAAGAATTTCCTATATTGGGAAAGACAAAACTTGCACTGAACAAATGATATCAGATACGCCATACACTGTATCTGTGGAAATACGATGTCAACACTAATTCACAATACTTCTCATCGACTTCGCCAACTGACTGGAGAGAGATTTTAATATGTGGGCACACATATATGTGCTCCTCTGTGGCTTATAAAACACAAGTGAAAACAATTTAAAATAATATGCCTTTTGTGTTTTTAAAATATCAACCCGTCATTATAAATGCGCAGCTCGCTTTCCACATAAGCGTATGTTCAGGGAAACACACAGGTACAGGTTCACAATCCTTGTTTTACTTAGAAAACATCCCTCACAGAAGTCTTTTGATCAATGTTTTCCGAGATCTACCTTCGGTATCCTCTAGTGGACAAAGAGCGCAACAGCAGGCTCTATTTTTCGACTGATAAAAGCACAATGTAAACATCGTACGTAGGGTCAAATGAACAAAAAACAACGATTGATGGTCCATTCAAAGCTAAGTTTAGCGCGTTGCTAATTTAAAAGGCTGCGTCGCTTCACAGGTCCCGGGCAGTCAGGAAAAGTGCCATCTTGCCTACATGCCTGCGTTATTGATCGCAGTCTGTCTGCAATGAATGGCTGCATATGGGGGAAAAATACCCTGAACTTCAGGTGACCGACCATGGCTTTGACACAGGCAGCTTGCAGACATGAACCCTTCTGAACCGAGAGGGCTGGACGGAAAAAATAAGCTTTAAAAATCTCCGTCTATCCGTCGCATCCCCGATCGGAAACTGCCCGGATCGCGAGTAAAGCATTCCGGGCTCTTGATCGTAAGGAAGAAAGTTAGATGTTTTACATGGAGAGAGGAAATAAGTTACCAAGCGGTGCTGGATCGCACTATTGCTGCTGACGCTGGGGCATGGAAGCCTGAGTCTAGCCTGGCTTGTCTGATCCGACTGACCCTTCATTTTATTGCGGCCAGATCCTCAGATCCTCCCCTTTCGCTTCCAGGAGAGAGAGACACTTCCATGGACGGATTCGCAAACACGCTCTGCCATAAAGCCATTTACTGCCAACAGACACGCTAACTGACCGCAACCTTTAGGAGAACAGGACCTTTATCGATCATTTAGCGTTAAAGACACTGCTTATAATACACTCGCTAGCTACTCATCGCCAACATGGCTGCCTAGCACAGACCTAAAAAAGGAGAAATAACCTACGCCGTGTCTTTGTCCGTTTCACCTCTTTAACCCTAAACTACTGCGGAAAACACACTGAGAGCCATTTAAAAATATACGAAACCAGAAATCGACTTACGTGAAGGCAGGCGCTTGGGTTGCTCCTGCTTCCTCCTGGGCATTTTCCCCCCTTTTTTCACATTCTCCTCCTTGTTTAGGGATAAGAAGAAAAAAGGATTTTTTCCATTGAAATTGTATGCGAGTGTCTGATGGCAGGGACTTGCCGTGCACCTGGCTGTCCCCGGTTTAGAGTGTGTTGTTGGGAATAGGATCACAGGAGGAGGAGGTGGTTGGTGTTGTTGTTGCTGTGTCTTGACTATGGCTGCTCTCTGTGTATGTGTGTGTCTCCGAGCCCCTAACTAACACTAATGCAGGGATCAAAGGGCAGCAACAGCGGAGCAGACGCACACACAGAGGATCTCGGCTCGGAGCGCGGCGCAGCCCCGGCGCAGCTCGCTGGCAGTGAAACGGGCAAGGTGCCCCCAACATTTCGGGGGTGTACTTCTGACTGCTCGGACCTCAGCATTACATGACTACATGACATGTGTGCATATTCATGTATGTGCATGCATAAGTACATGCAGATGTGAAACGTGTTTATTTCTATGAAAAAAATGCGCATGTGGCTGTTTTTCTAAGTAACCGATTTTTTCATGTGAATGTTTTGTGCTATAATCTCTAACATTTTGATTTTAAAAAAAATTAAACGTTACCTTTACACAGTATATTACTGTATAATTATAGTTCAGGAGTTACTTGCAAATGAAACGACGGAGGAGTGTGGTTGATAAATAGAATAAAAGTGAAGAACGACTGTCAAAAACACTGAATTACAGGTCCTTTTTTATTCATTGAAGAATTGTATTTTAAAAGGATGTAGGTTTAAAAAATATATTAGAAATGTACTATTAATGAAAAAGTATATTTCAATAACTTGCAAGGAATTTCACAAGACACTTAGGTATTTTATTACTCTGTAATGAATGAATAAAAATAAAATAGTGTCCGTCATTATTATTATTATTATTATTATTATTATTATTATTATTATTATTATTATTATTATTATTATTTTCGCAATACCTGGCGTTATATTTATAGGATATGTCACGGGGAAATTGGCAAAAACCCCATCAGCGTCGAGGCTATGCAAAAGCACTTAGAAACTGCAAAAAAAGAAAACTGATGACCTTTTTATTCAAGTTGCTTTATTGGCTTGACCACTTACAGTGTGGCCAAAAATCAATGCTTTAGAAGTTATCAATATAATACAAGTACTACATTTACAAACAAGCAAAAAGGAAAGAAAATGATAATGTTTTAAATTTCATGTTTGCACGAACTTTAATATTCTAGGACCGTTTGAAAGTTCTATGTACAGTGCATAAAAGATTGGAAAACAGCAATGAAGTTAGTAAATGAGGATACATACAGTATGCAAAATGGAATATAAAACAGGAAACACATTTATTGACTTACAGCAATAGAGTATACAGTGTAGTCCGTAAGTATTTAGACAGTGACACAATTTTTCTTGTTTTGGCTCTGTACTCCAGCACATTGGATTTGAAATGAAACAATGACTATGAGGTTAAAGTGCAGAATATCAGCTTTAATTTGAGGGTATTTATGTCTATATTGGGTGAACCATATAGGAATCGCAGTCCTTTTTATACATAGTCCTCTGATTTTAGGGTACCAAAAGCAATTGGACAATTGGCTGCTCGGTTGTTTCTTGGCCAGCTGTGTGTTGTAGCATCATTAGTTCATGCACAAGAGAGCTAACAAAAGATCTAGAGTTGATTCTAGATGTGGCATTTGCACCTGGAGTCTGTTGTTGTTGTCTCTTAACATAAGGACCAAAGAGGTGTTTATGCCATTAAAGTGGGCCATCATGAAATAAATGAGAATTTATCAGAATAAATAAATCAGAGACATAGCCAAAACCTTGGGTGTGTCAAAATCAACTGTTTGGTACATTATGAGGCAAGAACGCACTGGTGAGCTTAGCAATAGCAAACGACCTGGTAGACCACAGAATACCACAGTAGTGGATGAACAAAGAATACTTTCAGTCGTGAAGAAAAAACCCTTTTCAACTATTGAACAAATCAGGAACACTCTCCAGGACATAGGCATAGATGTGTCAAAGACTACCATAAAGAGAAGAATACACCAGCATAACCTCAGAGGGTTCATCACAAGATGCAAACCACTGGTAAGAAAGGCCACAGAAAGGCCAGGTTACAGTTAGCTAAAAAGTACATTACAAAGTCTCTAGAGTTCAGGAACAAAGCCTTATGGACAGATGAGACGAAGATTAACCTGTATCAGAGTGATGGAAAGAGAAAAGTATGGAGAAAAAATGAAACTGCTCATGATCCAAAGCATACCACCTCACCTGTGAAACATGGTGAAGGTAGTGTCATGGCTTGGGCATGTATGTCTGCCAGTGGAACTGGCTTATTTGTCTTTACTGATGATCTGACTGCAGACACCAGCAGCAGGATGAATTCTGAAGTGTACAGAAGCATCTTATCTGCTCAGGTCCAACCAACTGCTTTAAAAATCAATGGACGGTGCTTCACCTTGCAGCAGGACAATGACCCCAAACATACTGCTAAAGCAACTATGGAGTTTTTCAGGGCCAAAAAGTGGAATGTTTTTGACTGACCAAGTCAATCACCTGCCCTGAATCCCATTGAGCATGCATTTCACTTACTGAAGACTGAAAGCAAAAAGCCCCCGAAACAAGCAGGAACTGAAGATGGCTGAATTACAGGCCTGGTAGGGCATCGCCAGGAAAGGTACTTGGTGATGTCTATGGGTCGCAGACTTCAGGCAGTCCTCAATTGCAAAGTATTTGCAAACATGCCAAATTTTATTTAAGATTATGTTAATGTATCCAATTACTTTTGGTCCCATGAAATGGGGGGACTATGTATAAAAATTGCTGTGATTCCTATATGGTTCACCCAATACCGTCGTAAATACCCTCGAATTAAAGCTGACATTCTGCACTTTAACCTCATAGAAATTGTTTTATTTTAAATCCAATGTGGTGTAGTACAGAGCCAAAAATGGAAAAAATTGTGTCACTGTCCAAATACTAATGGACTACGTTGTATATAAGAACACCTTACAGTATATTGTACAGTATAATGTAATGATTGCATAACAAAATATATTTTTTGTACCTATATATTAGATGTATCTGCTGTTATTCTCAGAAATATTTATAGCAATCTAGCCACAACTGCACATCTTTACGCAGATGTGACACACAAATGAACCAGTGACTGAAATGCTC